GAAGCAAAGCCTATGAGTAAAACCTCTTCATCTTTGTTACCAGATCATCATTTGAAAAAGTAACATATTCCACAAACTTCCTGTTCAGGAGAAACCAATCTGACCCTCCATCAACTGCGATTCCTTCTGGGATCTTCCTGTCACCCAGGCGCCACATGTGGGTGTCACATTCCAGGAAAAGCCGATCCAGTCCTTGTTTTCTGATAAATCTGAGGGAATACAAAAGCAGTCATTAAAAGTTAATTTGTATTTTGTTATCATCACTAGCTCTATAAATAGAGAAGCTGCCTTCTCAAACAAAAAAGGAAAAAAGTTCACCTCTTTATATTTTTGTTCTGCTCATAAATAGAGAGGTTTAATAAAAGATTAATCAGTTAAATCAGTTATACATTTAGTTATAGGGGCAAAGACCAACAGATTGCTTTTAAACATCATTTACACTTTCTGCTGTCCTCAGACAGAACTGTGCAAGTCACAGAGCTGTACGGCATGAAAACCCATAATGTTCATTAACTGTTAACAAGCTACTGCAGAAGAACCATCTCATGAACAGGAACTAAACAGAATCTGTCTGATAGTCCTGTCTCCATATAAATGCAGTTAAAAAAAAAAGAAAAAAAAAGGGAAACCATTCATGAAGGTAAAGTGACCAATTTTCTCCTATGTTATTATTCCACATTTTTTTCTATTGGGGTATAGTTAATTAGAAAGAAATACAATTGCATTGCTCTTTGCTGTAGAGTGAGTATGTTTGTTCCATTTTCAAGTATATGGGGAACAATTTTTTTTTTATTGCTGAGCGATAAATAACAAGAGCAACTGCAGAATTGTAGATTTAATAAAATCATTATTTGAGACCAATATAAGATGAAAAAAGAGTTGGAAATTCAGTCAGTGTTTGAAAATCAGACTGGATACCCACACATGTTTTGAGACCATCTGATTCAGGTTTGCTATTCCATTTTCAGAATTCTTCCCCAGAAAGGGAAGCAGGACAGTCAGGAATTAGCACACACCTTCACTAGGGGCTGAGTACTGCTAATAATGGTGAGTTTCTGTGTTGAACGCATCCCACATGTTCTGAGCAATAACACCTGCCAGCTCACCAGGTTCCGTAAGACCACAAATCTCACTCAGTGTGAGAACTGCAGGCAAGCAGGAGTTGTGGTACCTACAGTGAGGAGGACTGTAAGACTGTAAGACCTGTGTTTCCTTCCTGAATGGCACAGAGCTACATCAGGGTTCTTAAGAAATGTTCTAGGATTGGGAAGTCAGAAAGATATTTTAGTGGTCTTCAGACACATGCAACCAAAGGAAGTGGAACAGAAGAAGAATTTGAAGAACAGCACCAAAGCTTTCTGGACTCCTGAATCTGGAAACGTGTTAATTCCACAGTTAAACTCCCTAGTTTAAGTTTTATCCTATACCAATCACAGAACTGAGATGCAATTATGAAATGGTGCATATTAATTTTCAAAAGGACCATAAGTGACTTCAGGGTCTATCTCCTACTGATAGCTACGTCTCTTCTCACAGTATGAGAAGAGCAGCTCCTCTGTTAACACAACAGTGCAGAAAATGTGTAGATGAGAGTGGAGAAATTCTTCTTTCCATGAACAAGTTTTTAATTTCATGTTCCATTATGAAGGATAATAGAAAAGCCTTGCAATTTTAATGCAGTGCTCTGGAATGTAATCTTCAAATTCAATATTTACGCAGTTATCTCCAAATCAAATATTAATGTGCCTGAAAGTTTGGTCATTTATTTATTTCCCTCAAAGCTAAATGCTCATTTGAGTTAATTATTTTAAGAAAATAACAGAATTTTATCAATCATATTTAAATAGTATCATAAAGTTTTTTTCCCATGAAATAATTTTTCAATTACTGTCTCTACTAATTTATCACCCTTTATTCTCGTATGCAAACAGAAATTTCTTTGACTGCAATAGAAACCCCAAAACAAAAGCCCCCGACCTGACAATGTAAAAAACCCCTCTGCTTACCAACACTCTCAGCCTATTTGCATTCTAGGGGTTAGTTAGTGGATAACAGAAAGCTCAGTTATACAACTTTAGCCTTACTGTCCAAAACTGGCAGTGGAAGAGTACAACCACACAAAAGATGAGAAGGTCCCAGCAAATCTAGGCTTACAGCTTTATGCTTTCCAAAATAGTTGACAGGCTCCTTTTTTCATATGTGCACAGTTCTATAAGTATTATGAGCTAATGGCTTAGACAAGCAAATTCTGGCATATGAAGTGAAATAAGACACTTATTGGGAGTATCAGTGTTTTCACAACAACTGTCAGTCCTAAAATACCAGTGACAACCCAACAGGATGCAGGCATTTCTCAGGAGGCTGATCCTTACTGGGGCTGCTTTACACACAGCCATTGCACCTAAATTGAATAATGCATTAACACAGCAAATAACGGACACTGAAGACACAGCTCTCCAATGAGGAGTTGCTTGCTATCTATCTATGTTCCTTGGGAGCCTAGGGGACCAAATACATTGTAGATGGGCCAGAAGCTAAATGATCCTGCCTGTGGAGGCACTGGGCCACCTCAGCAGGCCTGGGCTGTGCTACTGGCACACAGAGAGCTGAACTGCAACCAAAATGGAAAAGACAGATCAGGCTTTTTTTTTGTTTCCCCTCCAGACTCTCTTCTAGGATGACTGATGCTGCTAGCTACTCCAGCAATAGCAACTTGGGCAGTTAAGGAGGCAAGATCTTACTCCAAGCATATTGGATGTTGCCTGAGAGAAAGGTGCTATCTGTATGCCCTGTAGGCCTTTTTTAGAAATCAAAAGCCCTCTAACCCTACAAACAGTCCATAAAGATTCCTGACAAGCCATCCAACAATGCTTGCAGCAGTCATCTCTGAAAAAAAAGATAAGAAGATGAACGGCAAAAGCACAACCCTACTGATTTGTTTCTAGTCTAATGCTGTATTTCATTAAGTTTCTGGTTATGCTCAATGTAATACCAAAACAGTGCATTTTTTGAGGGCATGCCAAGCTTCAGAGAGAAAATGAAATGCAGAAAATGGTGATTTATCTGTCAAGTCTTCCTCACTCAGGTTTTACAGAACACTGAGTAGATAACTCCCAAATTGAAGTAGAAAAAACAGATTAGTAATACCATTTCATTAATCTTAGCCAGTGTGGAAAAACGGAGGCACTTCCTGGCTTCCTGAACTTCAGGTAGGACCAGCCCATGTCTGACAGCTTCAAATGTACTTGCAGGGCCAATGACATAAAACTGCACCAAGGTATGGTTAGCCAGATACAATGGAGACTGCCATCAGATGAAGATACCTGACTTTTTCCCTGATCTAAGACAAACAACAGGAGGAAAATAAGAATTATAATAGAGTCAACCAAGGGAAAATAAAATTTAAACAGGGCTAGGGTTAAGAAAAAACATGCCATTTTATCTTACTTCATAGAACACGCCATCTCAGATATTTTAAGTTTGTCCTTGACAAAATTTAACTCTTTCTAAAGAGCCTCCAATTTTGAGGATCCTGGATTACACTTTCAAGTAAGCAGCAAGCACAGCGTAAGATGAACACCTCCTGCCAGCTGAGCTCAGCAATCAGGCAACTACATGTGTGAAAGGCGCCGACTGCATCCTGAGCACGTGTGGGTGCAGCCTCAGGGCTTACACGGTTCTGGATGGTTATTTTTATACTGTGTTAAAAAAACCTACTGCCTGCAGGACATGGCCTGTAACATTGCGTGTGGATAGTTAATTGTCCAGACAGCTCATGATTGCAACCCAGCTCAGGGAACTCGTTTTACTTCGTAGTATATTTAAATATTTATAAATGCATTTCAGATGAGACTCTGGGATTGTATAACACATAAAGCATTTGTAAGATGTTTAGCACACGCTCCTACAACATGAATATAAACACATAGCTGAGCTCTTCTTATGATCTGTTTTAACTACTACTACTAGTTAAATGATACATAATATTGCTGCACAGTGATTTAATATCAGCAAAAATACCACAATCAAATATCACACTTTTGGATAGTTTTCTCCAAGTCACACTGTATGCCACAGCAACTCTGAGAGACCCCCACTCCTGAAGGCTCACACTTCGCAGTACATAACCCAGAGAGCTCACTGCTTTCTGAAGGCTATGGATGAATACAACTTTCTGAAGCATCAAAGGCTATCAGACTGCTGAACAGTACTTGCCAGTAACTTCATTGCTAAAAGGCTTTTGTCTGGAAATAATGTATTTTTAAGGTGAAAAGGTTTCTTCCTGAGCATTTCCTGTTTCTGGCCTCTTGCCTAGAAAACCTCCTATTGACATTTCACTGTTAACCAGTACATCTACCAGGACTTCATCATCATTACCCACTATACAAAACTATGAATAAGAGTTAAAAATAAATCAGCAAAATAAAACATTACACATCTTAAATCAATATCAAAGCAAGGATCTGCAGAGCTGGTAGCTCCACTAGTACCATGTCCATGTTCTCCTTAATTTACTTGGACAAACTCTGCACATCGCTTTGACTCTATCTGCTCCTCTGTTAACTCTCTTTTAGACAAGAAGTCAGTCAGTTTTGTTTTGCAAAGTCAGGTGAACATTTTTATGGATGAGAAATATGAGAGGCTTTTGCCAGCAGTGTTTGCACAGCCAGCTTAGAAACGCTTACTGGAGTCAATCAGTCAGGAAGTGTAACTTGCAATTTAGGTGACCAAGTAGAAAGCACAGAACAGTAATTTGACAATCTTGAGTGTAACAGTTTCAACAAGTAATTTGTGAGCAATCTCTAGAGTACAATACGTCTCCATAAACCAACTGATTGAATAATTCTTTGTAATAAGTGAGTTCATAGAACCGAGACCTGCACAGAGCCATTTCCTTCCCTGCCTGCTGCAGGCCAGAAATCCTGGCCTCCATTCAGGATGTGATCAACTTGCAGTTGACCGCAACACAACCCTGACTTCACCCCATTTCCATGAATAACTTGACTCTACAAAGGGTTATACAGGATTAAAAAAATCTCAAGTAACTATTGGCCATTAAAGCACAATGTATATACTATTCCAAATAAACATGTGGTTTTCTAAAGACAGGATTTGTCAGCATATTTCCCAGTACCTCTTTGTTGTGCTGTAAGCCTCCAGGGCTGACCCCCCACTCCCAAAACAGAGTTGAAGTTTGAAAAGGAGAACA